CAGAAATATCATATATGCTGCTTGCATTTTTTGTTTGTTTCTCTCTTTCATTATCCATGTCTCAGAGCTGTACTATAGGTTTAGCCATTATATAGTGAATTTTTAGTTTTATTTTTGCGCCCACATCTCTGCCAAAGTGTTGTTTAATTGTTTCGCTAATTTAGTTCCACAGTATATATACAATTTATTTTCTAAATCCTCCAGGGTGTGATTAAATACACGTATGAAATTTCAAAGATATGAATATTTGTTGATGTGTTCCACTATTTCTCCATTTATTACAATTTTGGCTCTCTTTGTTCTTTGCCTTGCAGTGCCATAACTTTTGTTTTTTGAACTGATATTTTCATAGAAGATTTCTGGGCCTCTTTTGTCAGTTCAAAAACATGCTGCGTCTTTTTAGATCATCTTCAGTATCTGTTATGATTGTTTAATCATTAGCATATAAGATTGTATCAATCTTTTTATCTTTCCTTATTTGGATACCCTGTTTAATTTTATTCCTCCAGTTTCTCACTAGTTGGTTGATGTATATGTTGAAGAGAGTACGCAACAGATCACATCCCTGTTTTAGGTCATGGTTGTTATTGTTGCAGACTTTCTTCCATTTCTTAACATTATTTTAATGTAGGTGTTTTCATATAAACTCTGGATCACATTGAGCAATTGATTTGGAATTTTCTCCTCTTTCAGTATTTCTAAGTTTCTGTCTGTTTACTCTGTCATACGCCTTTTCATAACCTATGAATATTAAGAAAGTTGGTAAGTTTCTGTCTTGTCTTTGATCTATTATCATCTGTAATGTGAGATGGAATCTTTAGTGTTCCTTCCCTCTCGGAACCCACATTGTTCTTCTCCCATGAAATTCTCAGCTATTACATTCAGTCTGTTTCTCAACATATTTACATAAAGTTTTGATGTGGATAATAGTGGGATGCCCCTATAGTTGTCACAACTCTTTCTTGAACTCTTTTTGTGAATATTCATGACCAAACCCTCTTGCCATTCTATTGTTATGTTCCTGTCTTGCCATACTTTGTTAAAAAGGTCTAGTAATGTTTCTTTTAATTCATTTCCTCCATATTTTATAAGTTCTAGGTTGATTTCATCTGATCCGGGGCTTTTCCTATTTTTTGACTTCTTTAGTACTGTCTCTAGATCTTCAATATTGAAGGGGCTGTCCATATCCCTATTGTCATCTATTTTTTTATAATTCTTCGTTTGTTCTAGGATCTACATTGTTTCATAGGGTGGAGTAGTATTTTATCCACTTCTCTTCAGGGATGCAGTCTAGTATCATTGTTTCTTTCAAACTCATGTTCAGCATTTTCAAAATTTTGAATCCCATTCTTTGGGGGCCAGAGATGTCTCTTCCTACACTTTTGATAAATTTTCTCCAGTCTTCTCATCTGTGTATTCTGCTTGTAAGTCTTATTTTGGCTCTTAGTTTGTTATATTCAATGTAATGTTTTACTGTTCTTTTCTGAAGGTAAGATCTATATGCTTGTTTCTTTTGATTTTCTCTTACAAGTCAATATCCCATGTTCTCAACCATTTTGTTTTCTTGATTGGTTTGTAAACTACATTCTCTTGTGCTGCTTCAAGCATTGCATGTTTAAGTGAGGTTCAAAATGTTTCGATTTTGTTTCTCTACTGTTTGCTATTTTCCTCTTAATCATCTTTCATAGTGTTCTGATGCTTTTTTTCTTTTAGAAGGTAAGTGTTGAGTTTAGTTGGTGAAATATTCTTATTTTTCTTGGTTTTTGAGCATTGTATTAATTTTTCCTTCCGCCAAATAGTTGTATATCTTATTCCCTCTGTATATTTTTGTGTTCTTGACATAATTTAATTGGTTTCTGCTGACTATTACGTAATATAGGATAGATTTTGTTCTTCTTGATTCCCAAGTATATTTATGTTTATCTTTGTGTTTGAAAAATCAATTAGTTATTATCAGGTTATTAAAGAAGCAAATGTTCAGAAGGGTTTTCCCATTTTTATTTAGAGTTTATTGGAGAGTCTTGATATAAATCAACTGAAATATATGGGATAGGAGTTTCCTTATCTCTTTATGCAATACTTCTTTATATGTACTTACATTGAATACCGTATGTTACATTCAGTTGCTCAAAAAATAAAGAAATGAGGCTGCTATGAGGCTGCTCAAACTATGTCCTTTTCAACAACACACTGAGTTTCCAAAAAAAGATTTCAATAGTAAAATGGATCAAACTTTTTTTAAATTAGGCTTATGTTTTAAGAGAAACTTCTACTTAAAAAATCTGAGAAGTGAAAATGATAACCTTAATAGAGATTTAAAAATTCAACCAAGGATGAAACAGTTTTTATGATTATATATGAAATTCTCATATCTTAAAATCTGTAATGTAAATAGTAATTTAATATACAATTTTGCTGTAACTAAACTGTTAACAAATCATTATTTAAATAATCAAACCAAATATAATTAAGAAATACTCATTTCAAATAAATTACAGACACGAAAATTGATCAATACTTGCATGAATCACGTATGAAATGTTGAAGACCAGAAAGTAGAAGTTTTGCTGCAAATCTCCCTTCTTTTTCTTCTCCACCTTCTTTTTTTTGTCAGTAAAATTGAATTACTAACTTTTGTTAACAATAAATACATAATTAATTTCTCAATCAGTTGAATATTTTTCTGGAAAATATTTTATATGTAATATTGAATATAGGCATGGATCCTGTATCTGCCTGAGAGTACGTGGAAATTTCACAAGAGCTTTTCACTGTTATTTTAAATTATTTGTTTTATAATGAACAGAAATCCTCAAACAACATATATTATATAATAGAATAAAAACTGAATTAGATTTTTTAAAAATTTTTTGTATTCATGTATGCCCACGGTTCTGCAAGAACGTACCTTTCAATTATTAAATTGTAGGTAATATTCATCTACGTCATTGACAGGTATGAATAACAGGTATAAAATGTATTGGAAATAGGTCTATCAGGTTGTTAAGAGAATTTTGATTAAAATTGACAACCTAATTAAAGTTATAAATAAATAAAACAACTATTTTTTTTTCAAAATATTTTATATTGTATAATTTCTTCTATGCTTATACAGAATACAGAGCAAATAGCTTAAACATGAGTACTTTGTGGGTTCATTAATACATTCTTTTCAAAGTTAATTATTGAATCACCAAATTTGTTGATTACATCGCACAAGGGCTTTTATGTATACTTTCTTTTAAGTAATTTATTCAGTGTCCAAGTATATTTGTATGTGTATTCACATACAGATTAGATTTTAATTCGATTGATTTAGATTTTAATAGAAAATGCAAATATTTGATTATTCCACCAATTTTCATACCTGTGTTTATCGACTGTATGTAAGAGAATGAATAATTCAATTTCTGCATCAAACTAGATTATACACTGTTAGTACTAAGATCAGAAATTGTTCTTTCAGTGAGCAATTTCATCTGTAATTGTTTCCATTCGTATATTTCATCACAGCTGATTTTTCTAATAGAATATGAAAGAATTCTCTCATTTTAAGGAATTATTGCTAATAAAATATATTCTCGAATGCTTCATAAAAAAAAGATCTTATATATCTTGAAAGTTTCTCGCCTTATCAGTCCATGCATATTCTAAAGATTAGCTATAGAACAAATCTTTCACTTACGCTTGACAATCACGTTTTCTTGAAATTTTGAACTTGAGTACTCATAAATTTGAAAGCAGAATATTATTTTGATGATGTACCTTAGTATCCAGCAATTTGGTCACATGTCAGTTCCTTAGAATAGCTTTGCGCTAATATAATGCAAAATAAAATGTTCTGCTCTACTCACCATGTTTATTGCTCAAATTTATTATGATTAAATTTTTATATATGTAATTATTCTATGGAGTATCATTGTAAATAAAGCCTTATTTCAGCATTAATGAAGTTTTCATACTTTTCAAGAATGTAACATGAAACTGCAGAAAATTTAGTTCTTTGTTCTTACAGAATGCCAACTTCCTTGGCACAAAATGTAGGCCAGTCTCAGGGTCAAGATTTGAGTTATGGAACTGGGTCAAAGCCAATCTGACAGCTCAATGAAATGCAAATCCTCCAGACTATTTCTCAGTCTCACAAAATTAACTCTCAGTTAAAGAATGTTCCAAATGCTAAATCCTACATGCAATTTAATTTTCTAATTCATTCAATCAACTTTAATATTTCCTGAGCATCAATAAATACTGGAGGAAAAATTTAGGAACAGGAGTTGCTGGGTTTAAATTAAAGTACAGATCTTAAAGAAATGCATTAAGTAGTTTATTAACCAGTATTAAAAATTACATAGGGCAAACAAAGTAAAAGAACATAGAAGGAACACATTTTATTTGAATTTATATGAAATATCCTTCGAAGTAAGGAGGCTGTTACAACAAACAACTACATTAAAAGACATTTTTAAACATTTTTTTCCAAGGCACAGAATACGATCCACAAAAAAGTAATTGAGGTGTTATATAGAGTGCTGTCAAAGCAGTACTCCCACAACCAATTTTAAAATTATTCAAATTATAATAGCCAAAACAGAATAAAATAGAACAATGAAGGTCTTGCACCATGATAATTTATGATTCTTACAAAAGTGCAAAAATTTCTGTCAAATCAACAAAACCAACATTTAGGTTCCTAATCGGAAATTACATTTCTCTAAAATCATCAATATCACTCAGATACATTATTACCCCGCATTAAGTGCTCACATTGCTTTCTCTTTGGGAAGTGGGAATTAGTTGGAATACTTACAGATAAATCAGAGTACGAATGTCAAAAAAAAGTGAAGCCATTGTCATGCTATTGCTAAAATTTGGCAATTTATTTATTTTGTTGGATTGAACTTCCGCCGTTTCCTATGTTCTGTGAGCATTCCACCATAAACCCACCTTGAGATTCCAGGACAGTGAATTTTGTTATTAAAAGATCATCGAAAAGAATTATTTTAAAAGCCGTGCACTTTGAGTTGTTCGGGCTTCGCCAAACCAGACTTTGTCAGCCACTGGCAAATATTTTCTCGTTGGTCGCCTTGAAGCTGAAGGACTTCGCCGTACTCGGGATGTTCAATCACAGTGCCATTACAGGCAAACTCCTTTTTACATGCTCGTACAATTTTCTTCAGGTCGTACTCTGCTGATAGACCTTGTACGGTCGTTAGAGTCTTCCGACCGTTTCGTTGCTGAATTCTTATATGCACAAGACCATCTTGTACGTCATCGTCTGCACCCTTGATTGCATCAGCAAACGGGTCGAATGTGTTAAGATTCTGGATGGACATACGACACACAAAAGTTTCCACTGATGGAAAAACACCTACAAATAGCAAAAATTAAAAATTAGATTACGTTATAATTAGTCCACAATAACACAGCAATCCTCAAAAACTTACCACACACAGAATCTGCAAGAACTTTCTACTAACACACACAAATGGCGTCTGTCTTTGGTTTTGGTCTGGCTTGGTCTATGACCTACTTCAGAAAGATCAAAGAATATGCACGACAATGAATTGGTTGAAGAAAGATAAGTTGGCAAAGACTATACATATATAACTGTTTTCACTTTATATCATTATTTAAAAATTAACATTCAAAAAATACTGCATAACTACAGAACGTTCATTTTTTTTATTTTATCTAGAATGACTAGTGTCGGGTAATATTATTTTAAAGGCAATATATGCGCAGAAGATAACGAAGTCTCTGCTAGCGCAGTCTAGCAGCAGAAATGTAATGACAATTCAAATCCGAAAAGTACGCTTCTCGATTGTCCAATGCAGTAAAGATTTCTTTTGAATATGATAAAGAAGCGTAAAAACGATAAAATATGTTTTATTTAATATATATGAGAACTGCCCTAACCAATTCTCATTGACATGTCGTGCAATGAAATTCTCAGCTCATGCATTGACACAAAATATTATTAGTAGTGCGATAATTGCTCATTTTTAACTAATGGGGAATACAACGGATAACTTGATAACATTTTTGATGATGATGATGATGATGATAATAATAATAATAATAATAATAATAATAATAATAAGTAATAAGAACAAGCGTTAATACAATAATAGCTTTAGAATAATATTTTCAATATTAAAACATGAAACAAATCTTGAACTATATATGTGATATAATAATTCGATGTGTCAGTTACAACTATGACGTTGTAATTAATTTTAATTAAATCGTATATCATATAACCTACTTTCATACACATTCCAAATTTAAACTGTACAAAATTAATTGAATTTCTTAAAATCTTTATAATCGGAAGACAGATATACTGACAAGTAACAGGAACACTAAATCAACTATTATTCGAATAATATTTCCGTCTAAGTACTTGACAGCAATCGGCTGAAAAGGGAGCGGGGGTTCCTTTATTCGATCAGAGGCTTCAATGTGATGTCACTGCAGAGGTGCCGATGCTTATATATAAAAAAAATGAAATCTTATAGCGCGAAGCTACTGAAAATTGAAGAGCGTCATTACTTGTTTGGTTATGCGTCTTAATGAATCAATGCAAACGACAAAAACCGTTTTGAAGAAAAAACTATTAACTCAGAAGCTGTGAATATTCCTGTTGTGTCGTAATGTGTATGTGCCGTGCATAATGTGAATAAGTAAAACACAGGTTCAAAATATTAATAAAAAGATTTATAAAACAAAAATTTATAGTTATAAACGCCAATAAAAGTACGTGGGCCGAGGTGTTAGATGTCACAAAAATTCTACATTCATGTAAAAATCTCTGTTATTTGTTCTACTTGAAGGTTATACCTAACAATAATATTGCAATATAGCGCAGAGTTCACGTGTTCGATTCTTCAGACGGTCGAAGCCTTGGCCGGAAGACTGCTTGCTCTGGGAGTCGATCCGTGCTGATTCGGGTGGTGCCCAGTTCGAATCGGCTTAGCGATTTGAGCAGACGGCTTGCGTCGTCCCAAAGACTTCATGCGTATGGTCTCTTTAATGCGGTCCAGCTCATTCAAATAGCGCTTCTTTCTGTCATCCAAGGAGGTATCTTTGGAGTCTCGGAGTGCCGTTTCTAAAGCCCTCACTCGATCCATCGCGGCACTCAATCTTCTTTCTAATTTAGGCAACTCGCACCTGAGATCTGCGTTGTCACGTACGAGTTGCCTGTTGACTCTCGTCAGTTGATCCAAGTTGCTTTCTAGAAATTTTATGGTTTGCTTTTGAGCCAAACATCCGCTGTAGTCTCCGCTTTCATCGACGTCTGCTGACTCTTCGATTCTGGATTGCAAGTCTTGTACGAATAACTTACGCAGGTTGTGTAATGTTTGCAGTTCTCTGGCCACAGTATCCTCCAAACCTTTCAGATCCCTACGAGCCGTTTCCTGTCTCTCACTGTTCATAACCAGTTCCTGAAGACTGACGCTTTTTTTACATTCCTCTTGTTTGAAGCGCTCGTAGTCTTTTTGCAGCTGCTGATTGACGGCACAATATTTATGATTCTTATTTCTGAGTTCGTTAATGGCAGCTTGTTTCTCCGTTATTTCCTCGCGTAAATTTGCCACTTGCTTGAGATGGGCGTCGCGTATGAGTTTAATTTGTACTTCGAATTCTTCACGTAGTGTGTTGGTTTCGGCGTCTCTATTTGGTTCTTCTTGTGTGCACGTTTTCTGGGTGCATTCTGTGGCTTTCTTTTTCACGCATTCGTCTTTAAGCGTGTCGAAATCCTCCTCTAGCACCCGCTTTCTTTCCTCTGCTTCTCGCATCGATTCTTGAAGAATCTTCACTCGACCTTCGTGTTGGTTGATGATCATCCTGCACTCCGTCAGTTCTTTTTCGTATTCATTTTGCTTTTTATTGCATTTCGCTTGTAAGCCTTCCAACGTGTTGCAGCGCTGTACGAGATTCTGAACTTCGGATTTCATCTTGGAAGTGTACAAACGAGCCACGGCGAAGTCGTCTTCGATTTTTCTTTCGTTATCCGTCAGCACGTTCATGTTTTTCACTCCACCAATTGCGACGCCGATTTCTCGCAGATCTTTCAAGAGATCGGTAAGCATCACCGCAATCCTCTTTCGTTGGTGGGCAGACATGTCCTTTAACTGCTGTAGTTCTGCAAGTGTGACATTGAAGGCTAATTGTTTTTTGGTCAATTCTTCAGCCAGGTTTTCATATTCCTTGTTTTTGAGTTCGAATTCTTCAGATTTGAGGTCGTAGTTGACAGCGAGTTCTTCAAGAGCTATGAGAACTTCTTTCATCTCCTCTTTGGCACTGTCGTTTTCTCTCTGTACCCGGTTCATCTTCCTTTGTAGAAGATCGTATCTCCTCCGCGCAGAAGCTATGAGATCCTCCTGTTCCAACATTTCGTCTTTCAAAATATCCACGAGTTGACCCTGTTGGTTGATTTCCTCGTCCTTCTCGTCCAGCTGTTTGTACAAACTGTCTCTTTCCGCGTGCAAAAATTCTCTTTCATTTCGACTGAAAGTTGTGCGAGACAATGCAACAGCTCTTGATGCATCAATTACTTGAAGGCTAATCTGATCCTCTGCGGGAACTGTATCTCCAGACCGCCATCTTGTCAGTTCTGATTCCAACTTTCGTAATTTTGCTTTGAGGCGAGAAGCATTTTCCACTTCTTTGCGATATCGTGACTCCCATTCCTCTGCAGTGACTTCTTCGTTTACACACACTACATTCTTTACAGTTTTTGCTCTGATTCCAAACTCTAGCGTGGATTTGGTTTCACTCTGATTGAAAGATGCCGGAGAACAACAAATAATGACGGTGGTTCGTGAATTACCACCCAAAGATTCTTGAAGGACACGAGTGAGTTTAGAATCTCTGTACGGAATGTACGATTTTCCATCTGACAATGCTTTGATGACATTTCCCAAAGATGACAACGATTTATTGATGTATTTTGCTTCTTCTAACACCGTCCCTTCGGCTCCTGTTTTGCTTACTTTTTCACTTCCAGCTAAATCCACCAAATACAGCTTACCTACCAAAATCTTCTGGTTTTCTAAGTTCTCTTGTCTCACTGTTAGAGAAAATACACAATGCGAACGTGAACTATGCTCGTTCATGTCTGTTACTGCAAAATGTCTATTAGTTTTTCCTTCTGCAATTATATTGAAAACGTCGTCTCGATTGGACACAAATCTTTCCGTTAAGCCTTTCACAAAAGGTACACGGTTTCTGTCTTCGTGAATTGTTAAATTAATCTTCGTAATATCCAATAAATCCCTTATCTTCTCCATATATATTTCAAAATACGATACTTTGATGTGAAACTCGAGATCTTCATCCATGTAATAGATGTGGTGGAAAATATCATCAACTATTCGTGGAATAATGCCACGACCACCAGGGTCATGCAGATCACCTTCCATTGTATGCGTTTTGCCGGATGAGGTTTGCCCGTAAGCAAACACCGTACCATTGAATCCTGAAAGCACGTCTGTCACAATTGTCCTGGCAGCTTCATCGTATACTGTTTCTTGATGTGTCTCTGGTTTAAACACTTTGTCAAAAGTAAACAGTTTCTGACCCCAATACACAAAATTAATCGAATCTGCAAATTTACACATCATTGTCGAACCATATTCCTTTTCACGATCATTCAAAGGTCTAAATCGACACATCACTTTGATGTTGTCTTCAGCTGCTAGTTCACGATCACTTTCTTCCTCCGACATTTTGGTGGCTGTGGAAAACATTGCTTACAACCAAAAGTAAATGTTTACAAGTTACATTAATAAATTTGTCAATATTTCCATGAATGTAGTTGACAACTTAACCCACAATGTTTTTCATTTTTCAGGGTGACTACAAACTTGTGACATGACCAAGAAAGGGGTGCCAACATACGGATGTTGTGTTGTATTGTGGCACCACTTCATGAAAAACCGAACAAAAACACAATTATTGATAACCTGGTGATGACTTTAAAAATTCGAATTAACATTCACAGAATAGATAGTATGGAAATGGCAGCATTGCGTACCGCAATGATATACAATTTCAGATTATCCCACATTATTGAATGTTATGACACATGAATAACTACAATATTTGCGTAGGATATACCTGAATAACACAAAATTTATGTAGGATAAGGTTGTTGGAATCGGATCTGAAGTGGGATGTGGGATAATTTGAAATGGGATAACAATTTTTTATATTTGAATCAGATCTGAAGTGGGATAAATATCTTATAAAAGGTTTTATCATTGGATGAAATTTAAATATGCTTTAGCTGTTTGTCAAAAAATACTCTCTTGCGGTACCATTTGTGCAAAAGCACATCAGCGTTTCTAATTTCTCTTATGTAGACCCATTTTATCGCATTGTCACCATTTTAATAATAAAACAAATTAGAAAAGTGGATAACATAGTGAAACATACTGAGCAAAGCACATAACGAAAATGAAAGAAATAGTTTTTTTCTGCCACGAATCAACACAGAAAAGCAAACAATTATTAGAATGATTCTTGTTCGGAATATAAAAAGAATTTAAACGGGTACATTACTAATTATAAATTAGTAATGTGAGTCTGTGATTTCAAAATAACTACTTTTTTAAACTCACTTGATATAAATACACTTTCAATTGTTTTAACAATTTTTGTTTGTCCGGGCTAACCTTTGGAACGGATAAAACGATTTTGATGGTTTTTTTTTTTTACTGAAATGTGGAGTATGTATACGAGCATAATTTAAGATACTTTTAATATCAATATTTTCTTTATAAAGGAGAATATTAGGCAAATATTTACAAATATTTGTTCCGATCATAACGAAAATGTGAACACTTGACCATAATCCCATAACCAACCCCACATCCTGAAGCAAAATTGAAGTGCACACTCTTCCAGGTTTCGCGAAGGCCCTTATAATTTCCTACAAAATGCGGTTAGATTCATAAGTGAAAATATAATAATAATAATAATAATAATAATAATAATAATAATAATAATAATAATAATAATAATAACAGATACTAATTCATAATAGAAAATATGCATATAATAATTTTCAAGTCATATTTTAATTCTGTTAGGGGTCCGAAATATTGCGAAAACCAGGAAAAATTGTCGTTTAGTGGCCAGTAGATGTCAGGTGAGAAGACGATAGGGCAAAACCAGATATATGGCCCAGACTGGAGAGATAAGGAAACTGAGTATCCGATAAAGTCAGTGGCATTCTGAAGCGCTTCTAGTTTTCCGCCTTGTCTCAGCCAATAGTCACGTCGCATCTCCATTGCAACGATTGCAACACACGAATGTAACTTCAAATAAACTTGTCCCCATAGCACTTCACACACAGTTTTTAACTGTTTTTTTTACGTAAATAAATATATAAGTAAACACGCAGCATTAAGTCGTAAATTTTAAGCGAGTTGCATCAGTGCTTAGCTAAATTTATCATCAATATTTTACACTAAACATATAATTAATTTCTTTTTTGTCCAATAACTGGTTGTAACAAATAAATTTTCGGGGACTTCCGGTTTTTCCGCTAAGCACCAAAATAATCGTCGCAATCGGATCTGATTGATAATAAAAGAAGTTATTAATGCACACGAGGAGGAACGCGCTCAATAAGAAGCGTAAGCCATTTCGATTTTTAAACTAGTGGGGCCACAACACATACTTTCTCGCATTATATCTAAAATTGCAATTTTCGAAAGTTTAGAGTGTTCAACGAAAATGAGTCCCGCGCTTTGTTCTAACCGTGGATACAAATTAGAGCGGTTTTAGAAAAAAACATTCTTTTTTGTAATAAATTGCATTTACTTCAATCACAATTTACGCTTAAACTACTTCTTTTTCAAAACGTAGTACATTACCTTTTTTAAAGAGATATTTTTTTAGAACAGATTTTGTTTAAGGTAAAAATCTCTATCTTCAGTTTTGTAATTTTTAAATGTTAAAATTCTGCAATACATAGAGTTTGGCGGAAATATGGCTAGCATCCTTTTTTCTGTTCTTCGATATATACCAGAAAATTAAAAAAAAATTGGAGCGGTTTTTGAGAAAGAAATGTTGAAAAAACCCTCTATTTCACACAAAATTACGCGAAAAAAACTCATATTTTCGGAAAATTGATAATGACCTTTCTTCAAGGTCTGGTTTTAAGGGGCGGATTTATTAAGGAAAAGTATATCGAATTGCAATATTTTAGTTGAAGGAAGGCGTGGAAACAAATTGTACATTTGCTATTTTTCTAAAAATCAAGGCTTTTGACAAAATGAGAACTGCACCATTGTCTTCAATGCCCTTTACACTATCCGAGCACAAAGTTTAATAAAAAATGTTGAGCAATTTTCGAGACTTTTTAAAAATGTTTAGGCTTTTTGTAAAGTACCCTAAAAAATCATAACCATTTTAAACTCTGAGAACCTCGACTTCTTTTCAATCAATCGATGAAGATCATTTGGTTTTTAAAAGTCGGCTGAATCGTTTACTCACAAGCGTTGACCACAGACGGACCGACGGACAGTTGGACGTTTTGCATTCAATCGATTTTTCGGTTTCAAGGATCCTCAAAATATGGATATTGACTCCACAAAGTGTTAGAGGAAGTAATTTACTACATATAGGGACAAGATTCATCAACTTTTTCATTACCATTACCTGGCAATAAGAGTTTTTTCTGTCGAAAGGTCGGCTTTTCCGGCGTATTACAGAGAAAGTAATAATTGAGACATGTTACCGTTTACAAAAATTTAAAGCTCTGGTTTCTTTAACGACAGAAAAATACATTTTAAATAAAATATAGCAACTCAAGTGGAGGAATGTAATCGTAAATTTTATGGTCTCACGAAAAACAAACGAAAATATTTCAAACAAAACTTACTGGAAACACCAATTGAAGTGCAAGCGAATGCACACATTTGCTAGTTTGATTGAAGAGATTAACACTTAAATACCGAAAAATCGAATAAGAAACCACGCAATTACAAATAGATCCCGGGGCTCTATGGACGTTAAGCAGAACACTGATTTAAGCGCGAGCGTATGCACACCTTGCCTGCTAGATTGATTTAAGAGATTAACAATTAAATCCCAAAAAATCGAATAACAAAACACGCAATTACAAGTAGATCCAGGGGCTCTATGAACGTTAAGCAGAACCTCGATTTAAGCGCGAGCGAATGCACACCTGTGTGCTAGTCTAAATCAAGCGATTACCGATGTCAAGCCGCAAGAACAGCGAGTTCTGGCGGGCTGGCTGCTTGGCAGGCGGACCGTGTAGTGTGGGTCAGCGGGTTGTCTAAATGGGACATCGCGGGCCGGTGAAACGTCTCTCTCTGAGAGCGGTTGCCGCTTTTGTTTTGTTTTTCTTTCCTCGCTGCCCGTTCTTGTCTCCTGCTCTCTGCAAAGCGGACGCGGATTAAATCTTGAAGGCGTGCGGATACGTTAGAATTTGGTATATAATCAATTACCATGTATGATATCGTATTCTGCAGGTGTTAGTATGAACAATTCACTACAAAAAAATCCGCAGGTAATGCTTGTGTACGTGATTTTACAATGCATTGTCTGATGACATTAAATAATTAAAATCGACTCACGTATTCATACGCCGAGTAATTTTATTTTTTGCATAACCCTTTTTTATTAGGGTATGTACTGAGAATCAAAAACGAAAAAAAAAATTGTTATTACAATATTGATATATTAGTTTCGAATTTAATTGCGTAATTATAAAAGACGGATGATGTCTGTAATATGTCCTATAATCAGCTTTGCGGTCAATGACCCCAACGAAATAGAATTTTTCGTCCAGTTTCGTTTGATCCTTGCTTTGCTTCTGGCCACAAATATAGCTTCACTCTCTGCGCTCGTTTTATTGAGCTTTCTAATTGGTAGACGCAAGGGGAGTAGAGGATTTAATTATTTTGTCAGAGATACAACAAATTTAAATAGCTCTTTTGCTGTTGCAAATAGTTTTGATGATACAAAAGCGAAAATTTCTTGTTAGTAATGTTACCGATCACGTTCGTCGGTACTTTGATTCATAATTCAACTATGTGTAGAGTAAAAGAAAGGGAAGCAATTTCGGAACTAAAAAAATCCACAGATTGTCCTTCCTTATTCCTCACACACAGTCTTTTTTGCCATTTCTTTTGTCGAAAAATAAGTAAAATATGAGTGTACTAGAAAATTTTCTAGAATCAGAACGTTTGATTTTGTTTTACCCTGTAAACTCTCTGAAACCACTTTCCTTTTTTGTAACGAAAATATCCTTATAATGCAGACATCTTAAAGCCTCTAATCTACAGTATGTAGACAATACTTGAGTTATGTTCATAATAGATTTGAAACATAGGTCTGTGGTACGTGTTAATTTTCGCAGAAAGCCTTTTCGGTCGTATTGCGGCCATCTTCAGTGCTTCAAGAAATAATTTACAAATTACAAGTAAAATCTATTAAGAATAATAATGTTTTACAGAATATTAATATAAGTAAATTTAGAATTTAAGCAAAATAGAAAAATTGGAAAATAAAATGTGAACGTGGGTACATAATTATGAATCAAGATTACATGAAATAACAAATGTACTCTACTCAAGTGAAGTGAAATAAAAATAGTCTGAACAAACAAATAAGTAAGTAAATGAATAAAATTAAGATGAGCAAACCTTTTGGAATATTAATTAATTTTATTCATACTACCATTCCGCAATGT